GGAAGGGGGTGGGGGGGAGTAAAGAGGGATGTGTCACCGAAATGTACCAAGACCGAGAGTACATACGGGAGGGAGTGTGTTTCACAAGTTTCTTGCGAAAAAATAAATAAAACTAAAAATCCAGTATTATCATTATTATGATTTTAACCAAGCACGAATGAGGGGCAATTTAACCCTTCGGTGTGCTGAAAGACAAAATAAACCAACTCACCCCCTCTTTAATTTGTGGCACATGATGTGTATAATGTCTGTACGTTCACGGCGCATTTCCCATTGCATGCATCAGTGCCGTGTAGTACCGTACCATGCTAAGAAGGCCTGAGAACGGCGGTAGAAAACACAGGTGCTGGGGCTCCATTTAAGCTGCTCAGCCCTCTGTCCACTCGGTGTGCACAAGCCGAGAGATCACAGCCTGCACCCAGCGCCCCCACCCCAACACGCACATACAAACAGCTCCATACGTGCCGGGCGTATGTACACGCGCGAGAGGAGTGGGATGGGGTGGGGGGGGGCTCATATTCGCTTGAGTAAGCTAGATTTGGGTTGCTTTCATGTTATGCTTGTTTTAAAAAGATGAGGCTTGTGCTATAGAAGCCTACACTAATAAGCATTAGACTGGAGTATTTCTTGACACCCTCTCGCCTCACATGCACACTCACTCCTCCCAACCTGACTGTGAAAGAGAGAGTATGAGCCCATCTGCCCCCCAGTAGCCTTCAAATTTAAAAAAAGAAAAGAAAAGAAAGAAAGGGGTGGGGGACCTTTTATCATTTCTTCTACCTTGTGTGACCTCCAATTTACAATTTAATGCTCAAAAACTTTTTTCCTTTTAATGTTGCTCTCAATTAAAAAGTGCGTGCGTGTAATAAATGACTTGCATGAAGGAAACTGTGTGTGTGTGTGTGTGTGTGTGTGTGTGTGTGTGTGTGTGTGTGTGTGTGTGTGTGTGTGTGTAATGAGGTTTGGGGGGTCGATCAGTTTGCAACAAGCAGCAGGTGCATGGCGCCGGCATTAGTGAAATAAGCACAATTTACGTGCACAGACGCATTTTATCAAAACTACACCATATCAAAATGTCTCGTCAGACCTGCCTGCTTTTAACCACGCAAAATTATAAAACCATCGATCTCATTCACCTATAACCTAATAGCAATACAACTGAATTAGCTGGGGGTTTTTTTTTTTAATTACTTCTTATCTATCATAACACATTTGTTAATGCTTACATGTATAGGTATTTCTTGTAATCTGTCTATTAAAATGTTTGGAAGGATAGTTGTGTTGAACTGTGATGGTAAGGTGAAAAAACAACGTGTAATCAATGCAGACTCAAAGCATTTGGCCTCTGCAGAGATGGCTAATTGCAGCTAATATTTCACATAAAGACCCGGAAAAAAAGAGAACAGTAGTTCCCCGTCTAAAACATTGAATGGCAGGTCACGGTCATACAACTATAAATTACCACTCGGTCAAGAGGAATGCTGGGAGCCCTGCTTCTTACCTACTGAAGAAAGGAGGCACAGAAAGTTTAGTCCAAAGGCCCCGTTCATTCCTGCACTGACAGCCGTGCGGCTGAGGCTATAGGAAAACTGGTGCTCTTTGGCTGCTGCATGAATACACACCAATAGAAAAGTTGTGTTCAGTTAACCGGTGAAATCCGAGAAAAAACGGGGCAGGGCAAGTATTTCTCACCGCCAACTCCGGTCTAATAGCCCCCTCCTTCCTCTGGTCCCCTATAGTTGCGTTGACAGTGTCTGCATTAACTTCTTTGTACACGATGTTATAGTTGAGAACGAAGGGAAAGTTCAACTCTGACCTCTAAGCGGATCATCGCGACGCAAACAACCATCAGTTCAAACACGAATCAATTGTATTTTGTTCAGAAGAGAACCCGCTTTGCTTCTCTCCCTGTAAAGGCACTTCAAATCTGGAAGCGATCAAAAAATAATCGTCTTTACGTTGTCGACTTTCATGCCAATCTTTTCTATTTCCTTTTTTTTTGACAGACGCAGTATTTTTCCCCACATAAATGCAAATCGACTCCAGGAAGCGAAAAGAAAGGGTGAAAAAACATGTGAATCCCCATTGTTGCCGCACTTGTCTCACATTCTCGTTTACTCTCATGTAAGTATCACACACAGAGATTACTCCTCGTTAAGTTCTTTTGTCTTGTGATCCATATTTGAGTTGACAGATCACGAACAAGAGCTCCCCCACTGTTAATGACCCCAGTGAGCAACAGATAGACTCGCACTTCCAGATCTTTTTCTTTCTTTCTTTTTTTTCCCTGCCGCTCCTCTGGCCTACATATGTTTGCAGCTAGAACAATTCTGTATCTGTTTACATGGCTCTCATTTACATTGTTTAACATGCTCTAATGGAAAACTCACTGAGATTTAATTAATATTGACTTGTTTGTCTGTTGCTCCTATAACACTATACCGTTCAATTATGATGATAGGGCTCTAACACACGATTTGCTGGAGTATTTACTGCAAAGCCTTATAAATATTCTCGTGGTGATTAAAACTGCAAGTATAAGGGCTACGAAGGAGTGTAACCGGCGACTGTAAAGTTTGCATCCTTAGCTCACTTAAAAAAAGAAAAAAAACTACTTCAAAAAACGCTTGTATTTCTTTTTAAGTAAGTTAAGTTTATGTGCATAAAACAGCGTTTTCCAGGGCCGTGGGTTTAATGAACGTAATTTTGCGCAAATGAAGCCCATTCATCGCTTGTTTTATATTCATGTGTCCCTATCTGTGGCTCCATCTCTCAGATACAGCCCTAATCCTCGTGTCCTCCTTTGCCGATAAAAATGCTCTTCAGTTTACGATTAATTTAATCTCAATCATAGCCGGGACTTGTCGCAGCCAATAAAACTTGTGGAGTGCGTAAATGGAGAGGCGGGGGGTGCGTGATAAGGTCTGGTGGAGCGGCGGTGCCATGTCCCCACGGTGCTCTTGATAGGGCCTATCTGTCTCTTGCAGGCCGGTTTAAGAACCGGAATGGGTTTAAAATATGATACAGATTTACTTCATCTACGATCGACTGCCAGTGAGTGCGGCTGGAGATGCTTTGTTTTAGCCAAGCGGGGAACTGAGCCTTGCGTTTGTCTGCGTCATGTCCTCGGTTACTTCAGGATCACAGACCTATTGAGTCGAATGGCGGAGGCTTTTGACACTACACTTGTTTTAGGTCCTGCTTGGTTTCTGTCTGGTGGGGACTTTTGCAGGTAGATAGCTTTATGTGGTCACTTCATCCAGTGGTCTGATTACATTTACTCAGTGTGTAAAAAACAAAACAAAAAACAACATAACATAGCCCATAACTTTTTTCAAGCCAAATTTCACATTTAGTGGAGAGAATTTCATTAAGTCCAACAAATATCTCAAAAAACTGCTTTTATGATTTTTACAATCCCCTTGTCATTGCTTTTCTAAATAAAGTCATTAGAAAAACACATTGAAGTAGTTCCATTGGGAGCGTTTGTGGTGTCTTGGTCTGTATTCAAAATTTAAATACCTCCTCACATTTTCCGTGGGCACACTCATGATCATTTGTATATAGGCTTTCACTTTTTCTTTTCTTCTTCTTCTTTTTTTTCTTTCTTTCTTTCTTTCTTTCTTTCTTTTTTTTTTTTTTTTTTTTTTTTTTTTTTTTTACAAAAAAAGTAATAAAAAGGAAAGAAATAAAATATCCTGGTAGTGATCTGCGAATCATCTGTAACACCACAGGTAATAACGGGTGCTGGAAAAAGGAAACTTTAGTTCTCTTTTTAAAATCAGACAGAAATCTGTCATGATTAAATAAATGGAAGTTTACACTGCTGGAGTCCTCTTCGCAGGTTTTATGCCAGTGTTCAGTTTCTGAAAGTCCTGCGGTTTCTCCGTACCAAACAGTGGCTACTGTCCTACTTTCTGTTACTAAAGACACCACCGCAGCACTCACAGACTCGATTCGTATCACAGAGTTGCGTGTAGCACATTTACATGGGGAGAGCCCGAGCGCTGCTTCTAGGAAACAAATCTCTGAGAAAGTGTTTCCACCAAAACTGCAGTTCGTGCAACAGTGTCCTGTGGCAAATCTACTCTAGTCTGCAGAATAATTGGTTGGGGATTTGGATGCAAAGGGACTGCAGGAGAGAAAGCCTTTTTTTGGAGGGGGAAATGGTTCTCGTCCGAGGAAGAAAAGCTCTTTTCAGGGGCCACAATGGGAGATTGGGACAGGGGAGGAGTCCCATCGTGATTAGCCCATTTAATGGCGCGTTTACTTAATTTCTGTATTCACTAGCAACGGTAAACAAAAGGGGAAATGGCACTCACATTTTTAAGTGCTGCATGACGTTGACATTTGCCAGAATTTGGAGACTGAGGCAGTCATATAGGCGATGTTGCCTGCATCATATACGTTTGAGCCAGGGGTGTAATCATAAAATAAAGCAGACGTCTTCTTTTGGAAAATAAAATTACAAACTTAAAAATGAATTACAGCGTTGTGCCGCTTTTGTCGCTGCACACGACCAAGCTGTCTACGCCAAGACGATACAAATAATGAAATCCTGAGTTAACGCTGTACTTGAAATGAAATCAAACTAATTTTAGGTGAGACCAGCCCCCTGACTGAATAACCTGCTCCGAGGCTGGATAAGCCACGATGAGCATTAATGCTTCCACAATCCAATAATGATCCAATATGAACATGTGTTTAGCCACTTATCACTGTCCTTATCCGTAATCGGATGGAAATACAGACATCAACATGCAACGAGGTATAGCAAAGTGAATAATGCGTTTGATCTTTAGAATCGTAACTACAAGACACATAATAACTACGCGATGAAAGGGAAATGACATTGGCAAATGCAAATAAGCGCTCAGAGTGACCCCGGTGGACGGAAGAGTATATATATGTTTTTGGTTTTGTTTCTGTTTCAGTTTTTTTGCCATTAACAACCCACCCATAATCAAAGAAAACCAACAAAAACGCCTACAGCACTTCAGTTTTAAGTTTTGACAAATATTTTATGTAGGAACACCAAGTCAAGAAAAGTGAGGAAGGGATAGAAAAGAGGATGACACGGGGGAGAGCAATAATTATGTACAAGCATATTTCTACACGTATATTACAGACCGGGAGAATGATCGCATTATTTGAGATATACATAATTCAATATAAAATTTCGAAAATAAAATTCTGATACAGTCATAAACGGTTCTGTTCGACATTTTTTGACCATGTACCCCACAGGCAGTGACAGAAGTGTATTAAAAAAAGGTGCTTACGACTTAAAATGATTGTCTGATGAACACAAAGTAAAAACAGGATTGCATCTTGTCTGCATGGCGGCTGCTTCACCGTCATATCATCATCATCACTTGGACTAGAACCGGAGATGGGAAAAGGTGCGACGAAAACACCAAGACGATCTGTTTTATTCCCTCTGATCGATGTTCCTGATGGAAAATCTTGCATTCAGGATTATTTCCCTGATTACAAAATCAAAAATAAAATAAAATAAAATAAAAAAAAAACCCCATCATGCAAGTAGTCTAGTAGTATGGTGGTGGTGGTGGTGTGGGGGGATGAAGAGGAGGGGGAGGCGTGGGTCCTTTGAAAGCGCTTTTTAATAAAAAAAAAATAAAATAAAAAAAAACCCGACGTGCTTTTAACTCTTTTTATTTTAATATTTATATCAATCGGTCCTTTTTTCATCCGCGATATTTCATAGTCTTTTTTCTTCCTCTCAGGTCCATTTTCCCTGTAAATATTTCTCTTTTTGTTTGTTTTTGTGTTTTTTTTCTCCGTATCATACATCGCACTCCGAGTCACTGGATGTGACGGACAGGATGGACGTCCCAGTATCAACTCTCTCTGTCATACTGGAAACGCTGGTGGTGGGACTTGCCGCGGTTGAAGGCGACTCTGCCGAGCTGTGAGGGGTTAGACCGGCCTCTGAGAGGGACCTCATACCGGCTGGTCCTATTGCTTGGTGTTGGAGCCTGGAGAAGAAAAGAAACGAGGAGGGGGGGAAAAGAGAAAAAATGAGAGAAATGGCAATTAGACCTGAGAATGTCCCCCTTCCCCTCCTCCTCCTGCAAAATAGGGGTTCAAACTCGCCTTTCTTTCCCCCTGCCGGCCCCAGGCATGCATGCGTGCTTTTATCAAATAGCCAGCTTTCAGGGGACAAAACACATCACTATTTAGACTACCAAATGTTGGATGAAATGTACTAGGGCTGTGTTGTTGTTGTTGTTTTTTAACTTAATTTTTTTTTCTTAGAGATCAACGTCCTAGTCAACACTTTGGAATATAACTGATCCATGTTGCCAGTGCAGGGAAGCTTCAAATCCAACTTGCTGTCTTTGATATAGGCATTTTGAAGACATTTTCCATTTGGAAATCTGTGTTACTGCTCTGAGTTTGTTCAGCGTTTATTATTATTTCTTCATTCTGCACACGTGTATTCATGCTCATCAACAGGACTTTGCACGCCTAAAACCCCAAAATAATTATATATCATTGTTTGAAATAAAATATGGGTATTCTCACAACGACAAACTGCCGTGAGCCTTTGGCACAGATGTGTTTTAGTCTGATGGTAGGGGACGTGTATGAATGAGTGACGTCGAGATCCAGGTTACTCCAATCATCCTAAATGTTTATCTCCAATCCACTCATGATAATAACGCCATCGCGTGGGGATAATGTCAGCCTGGAAATATATCTATTCATTTAGCAAAAATATTAGAGTACTGTTCATATGGCTTAGTGCTCTCCAAAGTATTTTCTAATCAATTATGGCATTTCAGTGGAATGATACCACACTTAATGTTATGAATACAGCCCATGTCTTCAGATGTTTTTCTCTACGCATGCTCAGATATCAATAATATCGTTATTATCCTTTGAGATAGTCGTTGAGTTCAACAACACTAAGCAACATTTGATGTTAAAATGCTTAATGCTTGCATTAAGAACTTAAATTGGCCAATACACATAAATAAATAAATACATTTACTAAATTTAACAATTTAATATGTGTTTAAATGTAAAGATAAGACGATTTAACTTTAGAATAATTATTATTTAAAAAAAAAAACTAAACACTGTCCTGTTTTTATTTCAGCTGATTGAAATAATTCACTAGGTTGTTTACAATTTTACAAGAGAAATAGTTGTAAAATTAAACAAATCCTGCAGCGGATGGTTTTTCTAAATATAAATTCAATAATCTTCATATGTTGCAAGAATGCTTCGCCTCTTGTAAAAAATATAAACAAGGAGTTTCTGTTTAAAAAGAACTCGGCTCAATTATCTCTTATCAAGATTGACAACAAATGTAGTTTGTGTTTGTATTATTTTATTAGTCCGTTTTTTAAAATTCCAAACTTTAGATTAATTGTATTTTTCATTCTTAAATACAATTTGCATTCAATTTAAAATACATTAAAAATGATCAATCTGCAAAAAATGTTTAAAAGCTAATTTTTAATAATAATAGTGAAGTTTTTATGCTTAGGAGAACTCTGGAGATCTACAAAAGGAATATTTTCGACGTTTATCCGGGTTTGATAACAAAATGTCGCCGCAGCGCAGTCCCTCCACCTGACAGCCAGACTTATCTTTTTCCTAGACAGTCTCCAATCGCAATATAAGGCTTTAAAAAGCTCGCATTTTCTTTTGAATGTGCATTAAAGACAAACTTGTGTGCATACTCGTGTTTCGACGGCACACAGAAAAGTCACTAACCTGTTTTTGGCAGCCGCAGCTCTGTCTCTTTGCCTCCGGTTTTTAAACCAGTTTCCGACCTGTGTGGGAGTGAGTCCAGTGGCTTGAGCCAATTCCCTTTTCTTGCTGGGATTTGGATATGGGTCCTGAAGGTACCACTCCCTCAACAGGCTCCGTGTCCGCTCTTTGAAACAGTGCGTCTTCTGCTCGCCGTCCCAGATGGTCCGAGGCAGCGGAAACTTCTTCCGTACCCGGTACTTATCGACAGGTCCGAGGGGACGACCGCGGAGCTTCTCGGCCTCCTGGTAGTGAGCTTCCAGCCACATGGCCTGCAGTTTGCCATGAGAGTCCTTGGTGAACTTGTGGTTCTCCAGGATGTGGTAGAGGTCTCTGAAATTCCCCGTGTGGAACGCCACCACGGCCCGAGCGCGCAGGATGGACTCATGCTTGTTGATCGCCTCGCACGCTCCCGGAGCCACAGGCAAGGACCAGAGGAAGCGGCCCAGCCGTTCGATGTCCCCGGTCTCTTCCAGCGTCTCACAGACGCTTGCCACCTGCTCCGGGGAAAAGTTGAGGGTCGGTAGTTGAAACATGGACAAGTCTTCTGGAGACCTGGTGGTGGGAGCGCTGTTCGCCAGGAGCAGAGGGCGATCAGCGAAGTTTGGCAGGAAGAAATGGGAGGGATAAAGCTCTAAAGGGGATCTGAAAACCATGGAAATGACCTGAGAGAGAAAGAAAATTATCGAGAAAAAGGGAAAAACCGAAAAATACGGCAAGTAAAAAAGATTGAATGATTCAATGGCTATCGCCTAATGACACCAGCCTCATAATATCTCCCCCCTAAATCCGCCGTTGAGTGTAGCATTGAAACATTTTGTTTCCCTTTTCTATTGGTCTTCTTGGTGTCGTTGTAGCGTTGTCATGGCAGCCCTGCCAATCACTGTCAAGCGTGCCAATCATTAGCCAGTACGTAGCGCGAGGCTTTCACCACTTGTGCAGCATGCACGGGGGGTTATCAGAGTCTCCGATCTCCACAGCAACCCTCCCACCGCATCGCGCGCATCAGGCACAAGCCAATGCTCGCCTATCTGCTGAATGGAATGAGCAATTAGAGGGTGGAATATTATTGCGATCTTAACGAGGCTCGTTAAAGCTAAAGAAGATATGTAGACTGGAGATGCTTAGCAGAGACGGGAAGGGAGGGAGGGAGGCAGAGGGAGCTTTAAATGGGTGACAAATGGACAACCAATGACTGCAACTCGGGAATACACGTTTTGAATAGAAGCGAGTCAATTTGCACATTGTTTTTGTATAGTTTTTCCTGTAGTAGCTACTTTTTAGAATCTTTTGATCACTCCATTCATTTTTGTGCGACGGAAATGAAAGCGTTAGTCTTCTGGGTTACATTTTCCTTTTCATAGATACAAGTAATCGCTTTACATTATTTTTTCTTTTGAAAAAACAAAAAAATATGGTGTAGTTCCTTAAGCCTTTGAGGGTTTTTGTCTTTTGTTTCTGTTTGTTGTTTGTTTTTTGCCCTGGATCCGTCGATGGTCTAAAAAACTGCATGTTTGTAATTTTATGACATAATCCGCGCATGACTTTACTCGGCCTAGCTGTTCTGTGTGGTCACTTTGTGATGGGTGGGTACTTGTCCGGGGGTATACTGCAGTGATGCCGCTCCCCCTCCTGCTGTCCCCGGCCCTGCCTCTGGGACGCTGGGTGCAGTCCTGGCCCCCTGCCCGTTGCCTTCTCTCCAACCAACAGAATTTATTGTTACAAATTAATATCGACGCGCAGCATTGTGTTGATTGAACAAAGATCACGGCATTGTAGTGGGAAAACTAATTTGCCAGTGGCATCGCCCTTTTAACAGTTTATCGCGTTTTTTATGGCCCGGCCCTCTAATTAAAACTATTAGGCTAGTATTGGAATTACAATCAAATGGCAACATGAAAGCTTCTTGGGGACATAAAAGCTATTTCATTTATTTGATCTAGTGGCAAGGACATGATCAATGTCCACATTCAGTCATAGGACTCGGCTTTTAGTGGTAGTAGTGGTAGCCACGGCGGTGTGATTTTCATGTTTATGGCTAAACCGGCTTCATATTTAGACAGAGCTTATAGGGTGTTAAAATAGTGTGAATTCAGTCTAACACGAACAGTGCTCACATTGTGAAAGAGCCGTATGCAGGGCATAGAATCTGGACTTCGCTTAATCCACCCTCAGCAAAGCTGACATAATGATCCTAAGCCGCCTTTCTACAAAATCATTCAGGAATTCAAAACGTTCCCTTTCCCCACTCCGAGTTACACATTCTGCCGGCTGACCAACGACTTCAAGCTTGGAGGGACAGTGAGTACCTCAGTGTGCATGTATAGTCAGTGCTGCCTGTTTATGTCCACCACAAACCTTACCTGACGCGCTTAAACAACGTGATTGCCGCCGAGCAATTAGCCAACACTGGCGCACTAAAACGCGTTTTAGGTAAAGCAGTGCTTTAACTCGTGCGAACATGTGCGTGCAGGAGTGGGCTGCGGAGTGTCTGTGTCTGGAGGTGTATGTGATGCAGAGTGGGCGTTGTGATGATCTTGCAGCAGGGTCAGGCGTTTGGTTCGTGTGTTACTTCTGGAGTTTGCGCGCGTGTTTGTGCGTGTGGGGGCAGGGTAGAGTATGGGATCAAACCTGCCCACTGCTGTCCTATACGAACCTCAGGAGGACTAATTCCAAGTGGCACTTGAATTGGTCCCGTTGGAAAGCTCTGTGGACTGGAAGTAAAGGCTGGTATTTTCATGCTGGTGTTAAAACTAACCTCCTAGCCTATACCCCCTCCTCTTTCTCTTTCTTTCTCACACACATATACACACATGCACGACCCCAACATGAAGTTGAGAGTGTGGGCTTAGCAGCATTTCTCCAAATATGCAAAGCCTCCTACCTGACCGGGTTCCTGGTGTACCAATTTAGCTGATCACCATTCAACCCAAGGCTGCAGGTATTATGTAGCATTATGTTTTGGAGGAGCCTTGTTTGGGAGTAGCCCTCGCAGGCAATTCGGAAATCACTCTTAGAAAAGACTAGAGGTGAAATGTAAAACCTGAATGGGGATTGAAGGAGAAAAGCCACTGGTAATTCACATTCTTTTACATGGCTTTTGTTTACGTTAAGCATGTAATTAACACCTCCCAAACAAGTTTATTCACCTGCCGTAATTGTGTGTTTATCCGAGAGCTTGCTGAATGTTCCTAGCAGCGGGGGACGAGAGCTCTGAATGCACATTGAGCATTTAGCGTCTTCTCCGTTTACTTACAGCCTAAACCTCCAAACAAGACAACACAAACAGCATTTTGCATGCTAAAAACTGGAAATATGCTGGTCAAGCAGGAACAGGCGTCCGTGTCTGTTAAGCAGCCGGATCTCGCTTCCCATTCCTTTTGGCAGAGCGTTAAATGGAATGTCAAACTTTGTGTAGAAAAGTTTTGTATAAATAAAACAAGTTACTACTGTGTTTTTTTTAAAAGTTCTTAATATAATAGGGTAATACTGTTCATTGACCACGATATGTTAGTCTTATCGGAACATATTGCGTCTAAAAGTGCTCGTTAATCTCCATTAAGTAGTTATTTTTCTTTTTCTGTCTGTTCCAATAAGGGGAGCAAATAAACAAAGCTGATGTTACGTCACGTTTGGGAGTGAGAGAGGGAGAAGGGGACCGGATGAGAGAAAGAAAGAAAAGGTGTTGACTGTAAAAGGTAAGAGGGAAAGAGAAGGCACGAAAGAAAGGGTCTTGTTTTATTTTTTGCTCCCTCGTTGACCCCGGTTTGGCAGAAGCTTCCCAGAAAAGGCAGCACACCCCTCCTGGCAAACACAGGAGAGGCACATGTGCCTACTGCTCCATCCTGGATTCATCTCAACATTACACAGACACATTGGAGAAATGACTGGTACGTACAAAAAAAAAAAGGTTTTCTCCTTTGCTTTTCTCTTAGAACAAGGCAGTCTAGTTTCTGCTGAATTTATTTTCGCACGCGTCAGAGGATGCATTTATTATTATCCTGCCAACAGAGAAATGCAATTTTATTTTAATCACGTGGAAACTCAACGCTTGTGTTTTTCTCTCAGAATATTAGGAATTACCTTTCCCCCCCCCACCTCGCTCGTTCTTGTCTCCTGCAGGGCTGTAAGCTGGCTCCAGTCAACGAGCGGTCACCATTTGAGCTTGGAAGCTGTCGTTGGAGATGGCACCGCTTCACGGTTATTTCACTGGTCAGTTTGTCCAAAAGTAGGATGGAAATCGAGCTGCAACGTCTGTAAGTTCCGTCTGCGACGTTGTCGAGTCATTATTTTTGCGGACAATTCATTTATTTAAACAAAAATATGGAATTAAGCATAAAAAAAACCTTAACAGACCTTGATATGAGGCTAATCTATCCTTTAGATCAGAAAAGTTACATTTGGTGTTATCTGACTTTTCTCTCACCGAGAATCGGGGAGATCTGTCTTTGCAGAGCAGATGTGTGATGCTGTCGGGACGGGCGCACAATCGCCTCCATCCCTTTGCTGGCTAGTCCAGGGTACGGAGTCGCTGCTTTCTCCCCACACTGTAAAAAGTATCAGTCTAAAGGTGTCATTTAATGTAGCACTAAGTTTTAAAAATACGGGGTTATTTTGGGGAAAATGAATGGCTCTATCATACATTTGGGAGAAGGATGTAGAAGGAGACATCTCAATCTGATATAACTTTGTCTGCCTCTGTTTAAAGTTTCTCGTAAAAATTTTAAGTTAGTACAAGAAATGCAGAACTCCGCTTTCTTTAGAAATATTATACCGCTTTCTTTAAAAAAAAAATGCTATGCATAAAATTTGTGCCACTGGAATATATCTTCTTTTTTTTTTTTTACCGCATATGAGGAAATTTTTACGAAATGAAAACAAATTGGATATTTTTTGCAGTGCAAAAATACGATTTAAGCATATAGTCAGCAGCTTTAACAACTGCATTCTATTTTTTAAAAGCATTAAAAATATATATTAGACCTGCATATGTGACGCTGTTACGATTTGGTTCATTCCATAGTGAACTCAAGCGCCAAAACAATTAAGTCGGTTGCAATATCTTAAAACAGCCACTCAATAACAACTTGTGATCACGTAAGCAATAGGCAAAACCTCTGTTTACGTTTGCAGATACATGCACGACGCACAATAGTGTCTAAATTTAAACTTAAAGAAACAGAAAAACGCCATGATTGAATTTAAAACATTTTTTCACCGCAAATGTGACTGATCTGTAAACGTGGCTCCAACTTTAATAGTAAAGCTTTTACAAAAGTTTTAACATCTCTCTCTCTCTCTCCCTCCTTTCTTTTATTGTTTTTATTGTGTGGTCTCATTAGGGGGACTTCCTGGCAGGGCTGGGAGCTTGTATCGGAGCTGTCCAATCAGTGTATTTACACGGGTTGTTAGCGACAGTTAATGAGGGCTCCTCCCCGGGCCGGTAGAGAAAGGCGCCTCAACATTAAGATTTACCTTGTGTCAACTCGTTACTTCTAATGAACCTCCATGCAAAAGCCTCCTCGTTCTCAATGGAGCCGTGCGCCCGGATCTTGTGTGTGAGACCCTGGAAGAGTGGAGCTGCAAGCCGGCCTCCCTCTCCCCCACCTCCTTTTCTTCCGCTCACTCAGGGAGTGTTGCTTTTTCTCTGCAGGCCCGGTTCTATGATGCATGCATGCAGTGTGTATTTGCGTGTGTACATGTTTGTGTGTGGGTACGTCTCCTCTTCATGGAATATGGCGTTAGGAATCCAAATGTTTTCATTATATATTTAAATTTGTGCAAAAGGGCTTTTCTCCATGTAGATGAACACATATTGGACTACAACGTAAAATTATACGTAGGCTATATATTTACTTAAAA